GCAAATTACTGACCTCTGTCATCATTTTAGGTGGGGGAACTTGCACAATCGGTGGCTGACTAAATACTTTTTTGCCCCACTGTATTTTCAAGATACTTTATTTGTCACATACATAGCGTTTCTGATTTGACCCTGATAGTGTGGAACCTTCTGCCTGATTGCAGAAGCTGAAGCAGTTTGTTACCTGGATGGGACGAGTCCTTTAACATCTGAGCTGCTCTGGACCAGCATCTCCTGGTGTAAATGTCCTGTAGGAATGGGAGAACAGACCTGCAGCAGCGTCGTGACACACAGATCACTCTCTGAAGAGCTTTTTGGTTCTGAACACAGAAATCCGTATACCAGGATGTGATGTTTTGTGTGAGGATGCTCTTCAGAGAAAACAAAATGTGTGTACATATAATGACTGATTTTTATCCTGTTCTGGCAGCCATTCTTCCTTGTCTAAACAGTTTGAACTTATTTAAAAATTCTTGCAAGAAACAAGCTGATCTGACCATCCCTGCATTTTTTAACCAAAGGACACACCAAGTAGAAATAAATAAACTGTATAAAATGTCAGGTAAAGGTGTTCAAGATATGAAACAGTTGTGGTATGGAGTACTGTTACCGTCATCTTCCAACTTCTGTAAGAAGAAAACTGATGACACGCATCTCCCGCTGTCGTCTGTCAGCCTTCCATCACTGAAGTCAGGGCCCAGCACAAACAGCAGGACGTCTGCATCCACCTACAAATGCATTAAATACAACATGGTTTACAATAACATTAACAATGCAAATAACCAAAGTAACTGATGCAGTGATGTTCACACAATAAATGTGGGGTTCCTGAGTCCATAAGAAACAGATACCATTAGTAAAAATATATCTTTTTTACAACCTTGTTTACAACTTTACTTACAACCTTTGAATGTCTGGGAACGAAGAGCTGCTGGCTCTTCTAAACCACAGAGCTTTAGTCCCTGAGTGTTGGGATCAGCCGCACCAGTGCATGCAATGTCATGGCACTAAGACAGGGAGGAGATAATACTTTAATTCATTCTGAATGAAGACCAAATATTTATTGATGCTTTATGACTGCTTTTGTAAAACAAGCAAACAATTAAAAAAGAATGAAAGAAAAGGTATTGTTGGACTTTTTGTAAGCATGTCAAATGTTGCATCAGAACAGTTTCTTATGGTTTAAATGACTCACTGTCACAGTTGAAATTGTTCTCCTGGTGGTCACAGATACTGTACTTAGTGGCTTTTGCCTTTTTGTCCTTCTCCATCAAAGAAATTACTCCCAGTTCCTCTCATTATTTCTGTGAAAAAGGCCAGTTTCTGTTCAAAGCACAACCTAATTATTCAGATAGCCTGACAGGGACAGAAACTGAAGGTCATACATGGGCGAAATGGTTGTAATCGGAAGGTTGCCGGTTCGAGCCCCAGTCACAGTCTCGGTCGTTGTGTCCTTGGGCAAGACACTTCACCCGTTGCCTACTGGTGGTGGTCAGAGGGCCCGGTGGCGCCAGTGTCCGGCAGCCTCGCCTCTGTCAGTGCGCCCCAGGGTGGCTGTGGCTGCAATCACCAGTGTGTGTGTGTGAATGGGTGGATGACTGGATGTGTAAAGCACTTTACAAATACAGACCATTTTACACAGTTTACTGATTTAATGAGATCTGCGATCAGCCTTCACTGACAGCCGAACAGGACAAACAGGTAAGAACTGTGCACCACTACTGAAATAAATAGGTTATTACTGAAATACAAGCAAACTATCATATAAATCTAAAGGTGCTATTAACACGTTTAGTTATGAAGGACTCATTCATGAGCGGTATTAGTTTTCTTCTAACATCCAGAAGTCTGCACGATGTGTTTCATGGTTAAACGTAACATGACCGAAACACCAACACCCACACAAATCTGATGCTAATCTGATTTTATCCACACTGGTCCACACCACCAACAGTTCAAAGCCATCGATTATCCGGGATCAACTGTCTTGGCTTAGTTTGCACGGTAACCAATCAGGTGTTAGACAAGCTGCAGTGGCAGCGTTAACCCCGCCCCCCTGACTTTGATAACATTAATTAATTACCACAGCCGCAGCGCCAGGAGTGCCAGAATGAATTAAATAAATACACCATTAAATAATTAATTAAATGTGTTATTAATTAAATACAATTGGAAATAAAGAAATCACTTATTCATTTTTTAAATGAAACGAATGGACATTCAATGAATTATTGAAATATTTATTTAATCAATTAATTCCAATCCTAATTAATTAATGGAACATTTAATTAATGATTTAATGCAGTTTTTAATGAATTCATTGAATCTATACATATACAGAGTTACTTCTGTGCCAGCTACATGATGTAAGTCAGCCTGTGGTGCAGTGTTTCATCTCTGTAAAACAACACTAACAATATCAACATCAACAAATACTCAGACCAAGCAACAAAGCACTACAAACCTGACGTTACCATCGTATATGTCACTTCAGCATAAATGACAGATAGATTTCCCTTTTTTGAAAATGGTGCACAGTAATATCTATTTTCATTTTTGCTGCAGTTTATAAAAATTAATATAACAGCTTTTTTGAGGGGTATATGTTTGACATTTCTGTAACTAGAAAACTGTGACACTTAATACTTACATGTGGACTGAATACATACATATTATACATCCATCCATCCATTCGCTTCCGCTTATCCTTTTCAGGGTCGCGGGGGGCGCTGGAGCCTATCCCAGCTGTCATAGGGCGAAAGGCGGGGTACATTTGGGATATAATGGTTGTACTGATGCATAGTGTTTGAAACTTGAAATGTTCCAAAAATGCCACAACAGCATGTAAAAATGTGAAAGAAACTCTGGTGGATTTGTTCTATGTTAGGTGTAAAAGGGTTAATTAAATTGTATTTTCATGCTATGGCATTATGGTTTAAAAAACTATTATATCAATATGGAACAACTGAACTGAACTGAAACAAAAGCAAGAGAAAGCGAGCGGGTCAAGAGTACGATGAGAAGGAGGGAGGGATTTAGAAGGAAAGAGACAGAGAGATTGGAGGATACAGAGGGAGGCAGGGGGTGAGTGCACATGGAGCATGGTTTTAGTTCAGTGGAGTGAACTGACAGAGGAGCTCGCCACAGAGGGAGAAATATTTGGACTTAACTTCCAGCAGCGTGGAGGGACACTGGAAGGCTTCTGTGAGGTAAATGCACTGCAAGTACCACGGGGTGCTGACTCTGCACACGGAAATTAAATGGAAGTTTCTGTGATTTCTTAACAAAGCTTTTATTTCTATGTGTCAACAAGCATCAAGGTTAGCAAGCTTTAGCGTGAGAGGTAAGCAGTAAGTCGGGGGGGGAGCTTCCAGGCTCTGTCTTAAATCAGTTCAAGAAGTGTCAGCTGCAGTAACGGGAGCTGCAACAAGGCCGTGTTGTGCTTTCCCACACAGGAACACATGTTCACTTTCTGCACTGCACTGCAAGCATTGTTGCACTGTTGCATTCATACACGTTATAATAGTTTGAGAGTGCATCATGTTCTTTCAACATGACTCATTTGCCAAATGTGGACTGTTAAAAAATAAGCTTCAATTGTGGCATTAAGAGTAAAACAATAATAATAGACACACAAAAACCCTGTGAACCACATTCCCAGCAGCTAACAGCATCTGTGTGATTAACCTCTTTCACCTGACATGATATTTATTTGGCCTGGTTCTTCTAAAGAGCGTTTTCATTATACCTGAGCACTCAGACTGCTTCCCTCATTTACACAGGATGTTTGTTCTACTGTCTATCTAAAACTCACACACATTCACACCCCGATGGGTCCATCGGACAGCAGCTTGGGTTTAGTATCATGCCCAAGGATATTAGGCATGCAGACCGGAGCATGGACTGAACAGGGATCAAACCAACAACCTTCCAATTAGTAGATGTCATATTTGAAAAATTCAGGGCATTAAAAATGAAAGGAACTTGAGCTGCACTTTAAATCTCATTTAAATGTTGAAAAGTTACACAATTGTTGTAATGTCCAAGGCAGCCCTCCATTTATGTCCCTTTTATTTAAAAAAATGTGTTCACTCAGAGAGAATCCATGAGACACTGGGAGAACACAGAGTCGCTTCAAACCCAGGACCGTTCTCCTGTGAGGCGATGATGCTAACCGCTGCACCACTGTACTGCCATAGCCTTATTAGTGTAAAAGCTTGTTCCTGAACCTTTAATTAGTATTAGTTTGTCAAGGAGCTCCTCTGTGTATCAAAGTATTCTGGAGTTAATTCTGCGGCCATCTGTCCGTCAGCTTAAGCTTTTCCCAAATCGGGTCATGCAGTAGGACAATGATCCCAAGCATGCCTACAAATCTACAGCAAACGGCTAAAAAGAGAAAAAGAGAAAAGAATCAAACCAAAGTCTAAACTTCAACCTAGCTGGCATGATGTGTCAGGACCTCAGGTAAGCTGTGGATAACTGAACGCACACAAACCCGAGCAGCGTTTTTCATTTCAATCAGGTTTATGTAGTGCCAAAACACAGCAGCGGTCACCTCAAGATACTTAA